TGATGACAATTGACAACTAAAAGAAACATGAGAAAATGACCCAGAGCATAGGAAGTCATGGGTCAATAAAGTGAAATTAATTCTAAAGAAAGTGGAATAAAATACTTTTGTTCTTCTATAAGAAGAAAACAAAAGCTGGTCTATGTCAAATTCAGAAACTAAATTAAATGTTCATCAGTTAGAATATATTAAATTGCCAATGGATGCAGCTGAATTAGCAGACAGATGGATTTACATATGAATTTCAAACAGTGAATTTAAAATTCTTTAAAGCAGGGATATGGTCAAACTACACAGCTGCATCTGCATCTGCAACTACAACTACTCGTTTTCTGAGCTCTAAACTGACAAAATAAAAGGGATAAACTTAGAGTTAAATAATTTCTTATGCAACCCAATTTCCATCAAATAAAGGAGAATTAATAAATCACTACACAACAAAGAAAGAACTAGAAACAACACAGGGAAATGATCTCCAATATTACAGGAGCTTAGAGAAAGCAAAAGCAATAGACCTTTATAATTAACTTTGAAGCAGAAAACTTATGAAAGAATTGTGCTTTATAAGCCCAGATTATATAGTATGATTTTCAGTTACACCTTTTCATTTCACTGCTTGAAAAATCTGTCACGCAAAGAAAATATCTCCCTTTTTCCTCTGCTTTCTTTGAGAACAGACGGGAAGTATGGAGAAACAGAAAATAACATCCAGGAATATTCTTGAACAAGAGCAACAAAAGATGGCCAAGTTGCTTGACATTACGGTAATTACCCAATTACCATCCAACTCCAAAGATGAAAAGAAACTGATTTTCACGTGCCCAAATCAAGAAAAAGTTTTTGCCTTTTCTAAATTTTTATATTGGGTTTTTGATAACGTTGCACAACACAAGGCTTAGCAAAACAAAGAATAAATGTCTGTGCATTAGATAAATCTCTGCAATATGTCACAATTTATTTACTTTCATGGAAAATAATGAAGCTTGTGAGAGCTGAGAAAGAAAGGAATTGAAAATTCCAGGCATTGATAGATCCCAAATTATGCAGGCAATTGAAGAACAGATATGAACAAAACAAACCCACATGAATGAGAAATCAAAGCAAAAAGAAAGAAAAAAAAAGGTAAGTGGAAAGAATCGGCAAACCTTGTAGCTGTAGCCGGAAACGAAGGTGAGAGAATCTGAATGCAATTATGAGGAAATCACAGTGCAAGGAGAAAAACCCATGTCTTGTCTTAATGCAATTAGTAGTGGAAAAAAGAAAACAGAGAGGTTTAAAGAGAGTGATGAAGCTAAGGAGAGTGGTTTTCTTTGTATGTTTCTTTCTATTATATTTAGACTCAGAGAGAAAAGCAGGAGCGAGCGAGCGAAGTATGGGAATGGAGGGAAGGGAAGCGGGGTTGGTTCCGTATTTAACTGCAACAGACCCTCATCATCTCCCAGTAAATGTTCAGAGGAATCTTCGTTTTTACCAGGCATTATTCCCCCCCCTTATTTCTCACTCACCGCACCTCTCTTCTTTGACCCTATCTTTCCTATTAGTCCAACATAGTAACTTTATTTTTCTCAAAACCCTTTTTTTTCACCCATACAAAAGATGCTCTGACTATTCCCTACGTCCAAATACATAACTCATTTTCATTTTATTTCGTATAAGCGATGTTGAGAGAGAGGAATTTGAACACAAGATCTTGGGTGCAAGGAAAACTGCTTTTAATCACAAGATCTACAAGCTCCTTGCAAGACCCATTTTAGTTTTCATGAACTTATTTTTATGTCTTTATTCATACTAATTGTTATGGTATGTGTCATATTAGTTGATATAAAAAACTGAGAGAAGATAACCCCATCCACTATGGGTGGGTAGCAGATCAATTATAGGGAAAAAAAAAAAGGAAAAAAATTGAGACGAGTTGCTTGTCTCCCCTAGCATTACAAGAAGAAAATATATACATTGTCCAAAATGTGCAACTAAAGAGAAAGAGAAAGAGAAAGAGATTGGAATTTGAGATATCTTCTAATTTTCAAAAGAGAAAGAATCGTACCAATATACCAGGACTACGAGAAATTTTTTAAAGTAAAAATGTGCAACTAAAAATTAAAATGCTGTTTTTATATAATATTGTTGTCAAATGACAATAACACATAATAGAAGTTTAATTGGAGTCTTAAATAAATAATATATCAATAATATCTCTGTCGATGTGATTAGTTGATGCGTCTTTGAATTGAAATGCAAAGCTTTTGGTCTCGAAAAAAAGCATCTAAATTGAGATATTCGCGTGAAAAACATGCATGCATGGTGTTTTGATGCTTAGCACAGATTAATATAAAAAAGCTACGATTTCAAAAGAAGAGCTAGCCATATAGATTTAAACAACTCATGAATGCCAAGAAAAGTTGGACCACCAAAGTTTCTGAGTTCTCACGAAAGTGCGATCTTTATACTCATTCAATCAACCTGATCATAAAGAAAAAAGATATCCCTAGCTACACGCAAGTTAACATATCAAGAGAGGCCCTGGGCACAGGCAGACAAAACGGTCGTCTAGGGCCCCCAATTTGTATAATACCTTATATTATTTAAAAAACTATATTATATAAGTATTATGTTATGCCCAAACCAACTATTGTAAATTAAAAAAATATTTACATAATCATTCAATTCAAAATTAAAAAGTGTAAACTCAATAAAGGCCCATTAATTGTAAAAAAGATAAAAGAACAAAAAAACTTGCGCAATTACTCAATTCAAAATTAAAAAGAGAAAACTCGATAAAGACCCAATTTTTAAAAAATTTATAGCTTAAATCAATTAACCTAGTTGAATCAGGAAACTGAAAAATACATGGGAGAAAAACTTGATTATGTTAATTGATACTTTTGAATCTAAAAATGAAAAATGAGTGAAATTTAAGTGATGCATTTTATAAAGTTGTTGTGTAAATTACACATTGATTGTTTCTTTTATGTTACAATTGTGAATTTGAGTTCATATAATATTTTTTTAACTTATAGAAAAAAAAATCACATAAATATACATATAGAGTAGAAGGCCTCATTTAGGATGTTCGCCTAGGACCTCCAAAACGTAGGACCGCTGCTGTAACCTACCCATGTATTTGTGGTTTCAAAGTTGTTTTTGTTGACCTCAAGTCACATGAAAGAGAACTAGTTGGATTGCGTTTCAATATTTCTATGTGGACCAACTTATAGTTATACATAATAAGAACATGCTTCCCAAATGTAAGATTGGCCAGTTCTGAAATTTTGGTGAAGGAAAATATCGCAGGAAGTGTATATATTTTATCCAAAATTTTCGTATGCTGATCGAAACTGAAAGAAGAGCTAACAATGATGCAACCAAGTTGTCTCAAAGAGTCTTGGTATGCTTGCAAGTTGCAGCATGTCCTTTCTTCTTGTGCATGCTTACAGCTAACATGTTACTCTACAGAGGAAAAAGATGATTTCATTCATGTCAAAGAAAAGATTGAACCAAGAGATTTAGACGCAAATCTGAAAAAGATGATTTCATTCATGAAAAAGATGTTTACATATTTCCTAAGTGTCGGGAGCAAGCGATCCCAATCACATGAACCAAGAGATTTAGAAGCAAATCTGTCACCAAGTGAAGTGAGCATGCGAGAAAATAACTGCACTGAATGCAGCTGTCATGCAAAATGTCTTGCATCAATGCTCATAATCCCCCGGAGTGCATCAATTTGACACAATAGGATGAACTTTTAGTAAGATTTTAACATTTTATAGATCTTTTGTTCATACATTTGTTATGAACCTTCAAATCCATCATTAATATCTACAATTGATTTGCTAAATGATTAAGTAGTGTGATGCACATGCACCTTCTCTCATCCTCCTCCTTGTCCCCATGCCTTCTTTTCCAAACTTTCTGACTTGTCTAGTCAACTTGTCATCCTAGTGAAGTGATGACCTTCCCTTTCAAGCCAAGCTAGCTACTAGTACAGCAAGTACAGCAAGTACAGCAAAGCTGGTAAGAGTCAATGACTGGAAATCCTACCTACGCACCATTTTCACCAAAACAGTCTAAACCATCTCGTTTTGTACAACAATATTGATTGGGAAACTTTGCCATTTTACCAGTCCAATAATTAAGCATTTTCTTGACTGCCATTAGGTTCAAAATATTATTTTCACATTAGCCTCTTCTAATATTAATTATGCATATAATATATTCATGCAACAGACAGATTTTTTAGAGGACAAAAAATCGGCCCAACTGTTCAAATCTTGACCTATTTTTCATCATTTTTGATAGTCAAATTCTCTTCCTAACATTTCGTCACTTGAATAGGGTCTCACAGACTTGCACATTTTTCTGGTTGCACATTATTGTATGTGGGGTTGGAATTAAGACTTCAAGCTTTACTCTGCCCCATTGTCACATTTTTTGGGTCAGAAAACCTGAAGTGTCACTCGAGTTTAACCTTAACCAAGAAGGAGCGACAAAAAATTCAATTTCAGATGGTCCAACAGGCTCTAACATTCCAGCATGTGTTTGACATATGATCATGAATGCTATGAACTACCACTACTAGACCGGTCATTTGATCATATCTCTCAGATTCTGGATGATGGAAGACGGAGACAGAGCTAGTTGGTCATCGCACTGCACTGTGCTTTAGTATCGTAAAAAACGCCTGTGAAGGGCACCTATATTTTCCTAAGTTTTATGCATTTTGCGTCTTGCCGTTGGTTGAAGGGTAAATATGCTTTTGTCTAGGAAGAGATGCAAGTAGCAACAAACAACTACACCACTTTTCCCTGAACAGAAGTTTTAGACTGAAATCCTTCATATTCGAGCATCTCTGGTTGAATTCAGAAAACGGAAGGAAATGGTTTCAAATTTGGGCTTGCAAACTAGGTTGCATATGCTTTCCCCCAACTCCAAGAGATCCATTAGGCTTGTTCAAACAATTGCAAGCAAAAAGAGGTGGAGATATATTTCAAAACAGAACAAAATAAAAATCGTATAAATAAATAACATACACAATCGAAACAAATCGAAAACAAGATACAATTGCTTCTGCAATTCGGCTTCCACAAGCAAATATATGTCTACATTATTTTTATTGCATTGCAAATGAAGTAAATAATAACCATTGTAAATTCACAAAGCTTTGATTAAACAACCTCATCAAACTGGAACAGTTCTAGTAGAAGTGGCCTGCTGCCCTGCCCCCTCTTCTTCTTCATTCTCACCAGTCAGCTCTTCAAGTGATTTTCCCTTGGATTCTGGCACCAACAGAGTAAACACCATGCCGAAAAAGTTGATCACACCAAGCATAATTAGAGAATTCTTCACACCAATACCAGGTGGGTACCCTGCATCAGTCTTTGTAGGGTCCTTGCTCTGTGCTGCATACAAAAACCCAAATGCTCCAACAATAGCCCCAGCCTTCCCAGCTGCAGCTGATATACCGTGACATGTAGACCGCAACCTTGCTGGGAAAATCTCAGCTGGCACAACAAATGTGGTGGCATTGGGTCCAAAATTGGCGAAGAAGAAGGTGAATGAGTAGATGACAACAAATGCAATTCTGTTGGGCTTCAAGGTCCAGTGGTGGTAAGGAATTGCTAATGCAAACATGAACACTGTCATGAAGAAGAAACCCATCAACTGGATTGCAAACCTGCCCAAGTAATCAATGAGGAAGACAGTGAACCAGTATCCAGGGACAGTGCTGCACATTGCTATGAGTGTTTGTGCTCTTGCAATTCTATAAACCTCATTAATTGCGTTCATGCGTTCTGCTTTCGGGATCCAACCAATGGCGCTGAAGATGTCCTTTTGGAAAAGGTTTTGGCTGTAGAAGGCAATATCTAGCAAGAACCAAGTAGAAGTGGTGCCAAGCAAGTGAAGACCGTGGCGACGAGCAAATTGTTTGGTGAACAAGCCAAAGGTATTGGATTTCTCTTGAGTAAATTTCTCAAGTTTTTCCTCCTCAGCTTCAACTTCAACTTGCAACACCTTAGACATGTCTGATGCAGCTTGCTTGGCATTTTTGGCCACAAGGGCTGTGTACCGAGCTGTCTCGGGCATTTTCATACGCCAGTAGTAAGTTAGAGCAGCAGGAAGAGCTCCAACCATCAAAATGATACGCCAAACAAAGTCAGCTTGAGGCGCAAGAGAAGCAGCTCTGTCCACAGAGTATGCAGGAGCCTTGAAACTGTGATCGAACGCGGTTGACACAATCAAAGCCACAATCCCACCACCCAAAATCCCGAATCCTTGCATCGCAAACACCGCGGCTATAAATGCCCCACGAGTCTTTTTGTTGGCATACTCAGACATGATTGTAGCTGAAAGGGGATAATCACCACCAATGCCAAATCCAAGCCAGAACCGGAAGAAGCAAAGAGTGGAGATCACACCCTTTGGGTGATCAGAAAATGAGAGTCCTGATGCAACGGAGCATAGGACCATGAGAACAAGGGTGATCCCATAGACCCTTTTACGACCCAATTTGTCACCAAGCCAACCAAAAAAGAGCTGGCCTGCTAAGGTGCCACATAGAGCCACGCCATTAACAGCAGCAGCCACATTGGGAGGCAATGTGCCCGGCTTTGGCTGGTTTAGGTCCGTGTAGTATATGCGGCCGAGTAACTTGGTGACCAAGGAAATGCAGAACAGATCATAAGCATCAGTAAAAAACCCCATTCCTGCAATCACAATTGCAGTGAAATGGTACAACTGAGTCTTGGCCACATCGAGCGCATTAAGCACTCCCAATTGCTCTTTAGCCATCGCTTGCTAGTAATTGCCTCCAACAGTCCACTGAAAATTAAATTATTCTGCATATGAAAAATCAATAATCACTGCATCAGAAGCAAGAAAATACAAGAAACATATTGTTTCTGTAACTTAATTGACCATATGATAAATAAATAAATAAATAAAGTTCCCATCATTTTTTGGTGACCCCAGATCAATCAAAATCATAACTTTCTAGAAGCATACCACTTAGAGGAAAAATTAGCTCATGACTATGTCTTACTGTGAAGAAGGAAAGAAAGACAACCAACTAAGTTTTCTTCACTTTGACATAAGGGGGAGCAGGATGTTGAATTTTCAAAGGAAATGCTTGTTTTTATTCACTGCAGGTCTGCATCAATGGAATTGATGGACCAACTACTTGGCTCAGCTCACACAGGCCATTTTTTGTTTGTAACTTTGTATTATAGTACTTGCACCGCTGGTTTTGTTTATAGCGTTTTGGCAAATTGACTGTGGTTGACTATTGGACTTCAAAGAAGGAGTAATTTTTTTATATTTTAAACAGATATATTTTTGTTTTTAAAATTCGATTCAAAACGTCATCCAGAAGTGACATATCCTAACTTCTGAATTATTGTACTAAAGATAAAAATTTCTCATTCCATAACGTACGTAGACTTTTTCATATAAAGACAAAATAAATATATTTAAAAAAAGGGAGGAAGAATCGACGAAGTATTTTTTATTTACAGAAATTAAATGGTAGGTTTTATGGGATTTGAATAAATGAAGACTTTTGACCCCAAAAAAAAATGAATGAAGACAGAAAGGGGAACATCAAGGGACGGCCATATGGGGCTAACTTGCAAGTTGCAAGCAAACTCCATGAATGGCTTTTAATTGAACAAGAGAAAAAACACAGACAGAGAAACAAACCCCACATATTTTTTGGTCCAGATACTGGAATTCATATAATTTGTGTGAAAAAAAACAAATCAGAACTGAGGAAGTTTCAATTTTTCCAAGGAGTCGGTCCTAAGTGAAGAAATATTTTGAAGTATGGTACATGTGTGACGAGGCAGGAGAAACATTTGTGTGGAACGGAGATAACACTGTTTTGTTATATCTGTCCAATTACGGTATGCCAAGTGGAAAAATTGGCATACCGTCATTGACCGGAGATAGCAGTTTCACACAAGCTTTTCTGGACAAGGCAGATCCCAAGTGTGCTCAGAACAAAAGCAAGCTCTGGTTCATGAGCATTTGTTCTAATTATGGTATTATTTTCTTGGTTGACCCAATGAAAAGAAACATTTGAAGCATGTTTTTGCTAACAGAAAAGAAGAAAAATTCAGCTACACAGAGTCTAAAAACAGCCCTTAAAAGTAGAGCTTTAGTGTGATATGGGCAACCTCTTCTGGTTGGATACATAAACCCTCAACTTCCAATGGATCTGGTTTCCAAATTAAGAAACCAGTTCAGAAAAACATGGAACTTAACTGGTAGGCTTTCATTTCATTTCATGCATCGAAGTCTGAAAACTTTGCAGGTACAAACCAAGAGAAAACAGAGATTGCAGGAACTAACCTGCTTCTTGAACTTAGCATTTGGAGGAGGGAGAAGATGTTGTCGTGCTCTTGGGTTATGGCGTGGATATTAATGAGCAAAGTGGCTGACTATTTAAAGGGTCACTGACCTTAGAATCAATTCTAGCATCTTTAGGCATATACTTGGCTTCAATTGCTGGCTCAGCTTCTCGGGTCAACTCTTTAACAAAGTCTCTCTCTATCTCTTGCTTCTTCATTTATTTATGATTAAGTTCATTATCTTAGAAATAACCACACGGTTTCTTCTTTGGAATTTCCCTGGTTATTTATATTGTAATTACAAGTTTCCAAAGATTGTCAACATCAATTTTATTAGAGGGGTAATTGAAGATCTTTTAGCAAATATAGGACGCAACTTTTTACAGCCTTGTGCCTGGTTTTCTAATTTTCTTTTTAGTGTAGTACTTAATATCTATTTTGATGTACGGAATGGTGGGAACTCTAGGGGATCCTCTTTGTAAGTTCCTTTATTTTGTACACAAAAAAATAAAGAGTAATTGAACACGGAACTTCGAATGCAAGACTGAATACTGTTAACCACTTGGTAAAACCATTAGCTGTGGAAGAAAAAAAAAAGAAAGATTAAACATGGTTGTGAGAAGGCAAAAGATACAAATCAATCATTGGAGTATAAGTCACAAAAGAATAAGGCCAGAACCCGATGCAATGGTAGCAAAAATGAAGCTTAGTGTCAAGCCATTCCGTTATATTTTGAATTGGGTTGCTTGCTCTGACCAAGTTGCATATATAATGGAAGAGTAGGAGGGAAACTTGGTATTCCAAATCAGAATATTAATTCCATCGTCGTCATCTTATAATGCTCTTTTTATAAATAATTTCTTGCCGGATTTCATGTAAAAGGAAATGGGTAACTCAAAAAGGACTTTTTGACTCCTGCTAGTGATGCAAGCAAACTACATATATAAAAGACGGCTAACTGTTTTTTTTTGTTGCCAAAGTTAGGAAGATGGAGGAGAGATTCTCACAAACACTGTCAATGTGTTATGGGGATTCGAATTTGAGACCATTGGTCCACAAGTGAAGGCCATTTTCCATTGAGTTAAATCCCGTTGGCAAAGATCATTAATTGATTAAGTGTTTGGAAGATAGGAAACCATGTAATTAAATTGCTTTTTGGTTTAAGGATTGAACTTGAAAAGTCTAGGCACCTTTTTACAAGTGGATGGGTTTTTGTTACTTGTACAGACAGTTTCTCAACCAGTTGGTAACCAAAATTTTAATCTTAGCTTTGGATTTTGTTCTCCGCCTATATATAAGAGAACAAAAACATGGAACAAATGGTAAAACCAAACACAACCTTAAAAAATGTACGCATACATATTAAATTATAGTTTGGGTTGTCTAAGCTGGTGTTGTTTAATTTGCACAAATGTCACAAGTATTGAAGTGGCAAATGAGAAAATTCCAGTCTAATGTTTGCCAACAATTTCCAAGCAACTTCCAACCAGACTGTATACAAAGTGAGACATCCAAGGACTATGAAGAAAGTTGAGGGAGGGGAGCCCACAAGTGGGAAACCTCAAACAATTTTCCAAGAAGTATATGGGTATTTTCGAGGTCGACGTATAAAACGGTTTGATGGAACTAAGTTTAGGGAGTTGGTAGCAATCGCATCAAAGGAAGCTAGCCTAGCACAAGTCACCATCGAACTCGGGTACAAAGCATCGAAGACACTGTCCTAGCCAATTGCTCACATCTACAAGTGAAGTGACTGTGCATCTTAATTATATATAATTGATACAACATGTTCATATAAAACAGGATTAGCCGATAGTATTAAATATAAATTTATATGTCCACCATTGACCGATTGATGAACATCTAGATGATAACGATTTTTCCATGACCTAATGGATGACGCAGAATCTTATAGGCTTGTGTTTTTTTTTTAATTTTTTTTTTTTTTAAAAAGGTCTTAATTCAACCATCATTCTTGAAGTAAAAAAAAAAATTCAATCAAATCAGACACCATTTAAACATCATTATTATGAAATTTCATTTAGTTTATCTACTTTCTTATCTATTTGACTAATTTTTTTGGAAGAACGGATTTTTGAATAGAGATTTTTTTGTGGTATTGGGTGATAAGAATTAGGATTAACTACACTTTAGTCCCTGCAGGTTTAGTGTCAGTATCGAAATGGGCCCCAAGACTTCAATTCAATCAATTTCATACCTGACATTTCAAAGTATTATCAATTTACACCCGCCGTTACATTGACCGTCAAAGTTAGACGTTAAATGCTGACGTGGCAGTTGTGGGACCCACCTCATAACCAAACAGTAGTTAGAAAGAGACCAATATAGGACAAATAATATTAAAAAATTCTTTATTTTTAAAGTTAATTAAAATCAATTATTTAAACAGCAAAAAAAAAAAAAACAACAAAACATGGACTCTGTAACATTCCAGAGTATCAAACGGAAGCTTTCAAGTAATTTTCTTGATTATAAAGCGAGATAGATTTCTTGTCTTTTTTTCTTTTTTTTTTTTTTTTTTTTTTTTTTT